ACCCAACCAAAAGCAAAATGAGAGAGAGAGAGAGAGCGTGAGTAGCAAGGTTATGCAAGGTTCCCCACCATTCCCCCTTTACTCAACAGGAACATGTAGGGTATCCTGAACGGAGGCAACTGAATCCTGGGCAAAACACATTTTGGAGGCGGGACACGTGGTTGCCCCCTCCTGCAGATTCACATGACGCCACGAAACACCCATCCATGTCTAGAAACTTCTTTCCAGGAAAAGAAGCTCTTTGGATTCCATGTTCATTTGTCTGGCGAGTAGGAGGTCTTTTGAAATGTACATATCTTCCCCATGTCCTTGCGGCTTCCTTTGAACACCATGTATTTCCGTCCAATTTGCACCCAGGAACAGCCCAGCTACGGCCTTTTTGTTCGGCTCCAGCTTGGGTTCCAGCTCCCTTTCGACACATACCCAAACAGCTTCGACCCCACGGCATGACAAGCTGAAAACGGTTGAGCGTCGATACCACGAAACCGTGGGTTGTAGGAAACAGTGGGTTGGACATAAATCAGAGTTAAACACTATGTGGTGTGAGTCAAAACACTTCGAGGTGTGAGTGAAAACACTATGAGTTGTACCAAAGCTAGTTTGTGGACAACTCAACATGATTCGCGCACTGAAGAAACACCAAACCGATCGGAGGCTCTGCGCGCGCCGCATGACCGGCAACAACAAACCGCTCCAGAGAGTACGACGGCAACCAGCGTCGGTCGATTTATTTTCACCGCACTGCCTCAAGTGGGTGGGATCGTACCTGTTGGTCGATCTGTTTCAATCTCTGGAGTCGGTGTGCGTGTCTCTCAGACACCACTGACTCGAAAGTAAAGTACAACAAAATAAAAGGTAAGCAAATGCAAGTGCATGCAAACCCAAAATGTTGTACAGCAGAGTTTCGAAGAGGGAGTGGACGTTCTCCCGTCCTCTCACTCGATGCTATAAATGCAGACCGACAGGTACTGAGGGCATGCAGTGAAAACTGGTGAGGGTGGGTGGGAAAGAAAAATTTGGCTAATTCGCCAAAATGGCGAACGGAGCATGAATCAAGCAGTGTCATCCTGCAGGCACTCAAGGTTCGAATCTGAGTGTGATTCAAATGCCTTCCGCTATCGGTTGTTACTTTTAACACAAGTGTTAACCGCAACAACAAACCGCTCCAGAGAGTACGACGGCAACCAGCGTCGGTCGATTTATTTTCACCGCACTGCCTCAAGTGGGTGGGATCGTACCTGTTGGTCGATCTGTTTCAATCTCTGGAGTCGGTGTGCGTGTCTCTCAGACACCACTGACTCGAAAGTAAAGTACAACAAAATAAAAGGTAAGCAAATGCAAGTGCATGCAAACCCAAAATGTTGTACAGCAGAGTTTCGAAGGGGGAGTGGACGTTCTCCCGTCGTAGGTCAACTCCCGTCGAAGGTGAAGCCGAAGGCGAACGACCTAGACAAAAGGCACGTTGAAGGCATCCTTACATCGATCAAGTCTCCTTACTGTGGACAAGATTCTCACGGGACGTGGAAGTCAAGTCGGGTTCAGGAGGAATGATTCCTGTGGAACTGTTGGAGTTCCTTTATGTCGTCAAATCCGACGGCATGGGCGAACTCAATATCGCCAATGATTTTGCACGTCCGTTTATGTAGAGCGTGCATGGGGGGTTCCAGAATCTGCCAGTGGTGCTTCGAGGCAAGGGACATGTCATGTCGACTGAAGGGGTCGGCTATATTAGCATGTGTGGGCACACGGGCAATATGCAACTGCAATTGCTGTCGGTTGTGCCATGTCCAATGTGCACCGAGCAGGCAGTTTAGTGGTTGGTGTTTCCCAACTCCCCGTCTGATGGCGTGTTTGGCCGCTTCGTTGTCGCACAACTGGAGGTATGTGTCAGTGATCCATGGTCGAAAGATCACAGGAGCGATCAACGCGGCCCATGCCTCGAGGAAATAAATGGCGTTGGTGCCAGTACGCACTTGTTGGAGTAAGTTAGGGGGTAGTGCGCCCGAGACCACGCGGGTCCTTTGTGCCTGTGGGCTGAACAGCACCGCTGCCCATCCGTTGTCGTGCGACCAATCGGGTGGCAGACAATCCTGATCCCCTGCGTCCTTGACACGCCAGACCGTCTCGCCCTGCCGGCAGATCGCGTCGGTGTATATGATTGAAAGGTCTCTGGGCCTGGTGGACAGTGGGACGCTGCGGGGTGAGCTATGTTGCAGGATATTCAGGAGGCACAGAATGGCAGCTCGAGTTGGTTTGTCGATCCGGTCGGAAGTGCTGTGTGCTTTGTGGTATAGGGCGGCTAACGCCGATCGCCCTACTCGACCGAACAGGTGTCCGGTGACAAAGTTGCACTTGCCGGCAGTGCGTCGGGCGGTGTCGTTCGACATACCTCCCTGTTCGAGACACTGAAGCAGGGTGTGTGACAGTGTACGGACTCGGTCTGGGCACGGTCGAAGGGTTGCGTGTGTTGCCGACAGGTCGACATAAACCCCTTGTATTTTGTGAGAGGGCGCCGGTGGTTGTTCCTTGGATGTCTTCATATGAAATCCAAGTAGTGAGTTGAGCTTGCTGAATGAGGAGAAGGAACTGGTCGCGATGTGACTGGGTTGTATGGCCCCGTAGTCGTCAACGTAGTGCAGGGCAGGTGTGAGTGTTAGTACGCGGGCGAGTGCTGTGAGTGCATCGCCGAAGCGGTTGTAGCCCCAGACGCTGGCAGCGGAGCCGAACAGGAGCACGTGGTGGTGCCAGAGAGTTGGGCCGTCGGGTGTGATGAGTAGCACGTATGCTACCTCCGGTTGTGCGAGGGGCAGTTGACGGTAGGCGCCGTCGTGGTCGTGTCCCCACACATGTAGCGGGTGTGCGTCGTCGTGATATTGTCTCGCACATTGGATGTAGTGGTCGGGTGTGTGATGGTAGGGTTGATCGTGCATAGAGCACGACTGGTTGTGGCCGCTGCGGCGCCAGTCTTCTCCTCTCCGGACTTTGGGTTTTCCGTCCGATCCGGTCTGTTGTATGCTGAATGCGACTGCCACAATGGGATCGCGATGTGGGATAGGAAGGAGCCGGCTGGTGTGGGGGAAAAGGTGCAGGGGTACTGTGCGAGAGGTCCAATGAGTCGGTGCCTCGAAGGGGCCGGCCATACGTCCTTGGGCCACTTCCCCCGCGATTTCGGTGGCCATAAGAGTCCAGTGGTCGTCGATCTTGTGTTGTTGTAATTTGCGCTGGATGTAGGCTTTGTTGAATGACCTGAGTTCTACAAGGTCACATGGGTCCAGGTATTTGTGGTCGTGGCGAATGTGCCAATTGACTCCGGGTCGCAGAGGCCCCAGGAGGTCGAAGCCTAGAGAGGAACTATGTAGCAAGTGTGTCATGAGTGGTACCTGAGTGATCATCTTCGGTTGTCGATAGGCTCGCTGGCAATGTGGGGGCAGCTGTTCGAACCATGCAAGTGTATCTGTAGTCAGGTCATCGCGAAGGTCCGCGATGTCGAGTAACACGTTGTGCTGTAGTTGTGGCAGTTGTGGTATGGTCCTTTGCATTGCGATGGCCCACAAAATGGTCGGGTCGCAGTGCTGGGGCTGTTGCAGCGAGGTAGCGTGGTGTTTGGCCCAGGTCAAGTGGTCCTGCCAGTCGTTCTGTGGCATATGTAGCGTTTCCGATGCTCTCGGAGGTGGTCCCCATGGTCGTGGGTTGTGAAGCCAGAGGTCGACCATCATTCCGAGGGATCCGCGACGTACCCGCTGCGTGGGCGGGGGAATTCCGAAGGCTGGCTGTAGTAGCAAAAGGAATAGGATCCACATGGCTGTGGGCACATGCCAGGAGTTTCCCAGCATGGTGTTCCTGGTCCGGTCGGTGTTGTGTGGTCCCGTCCAGCCGCGCGGGAATCCCATCATTGCTTCGCGGTGCTCGGGTGTTGCGACTTGCCAGTCGTGTCCGTGTTTCCGGACCAGGTATTTCTGTTGGTATTGCCACGGGGCGAATTGTTTGTGGTCGGCTTGCCACCGTTGCCATGTGTCGTCTGGTAGTTGTTGGCTGCGTGGTGGTGGGCGGCCTTCGTCCGTACTGGCCTGGGGGGTAAGGCAGTGGAAGAGTTGTCCGTGTGTTAGTACACTCGGCGGGTCGAAGTCCCGGATGTGACAGTCTGGTTGTAGTTCGGCTGCAATGGGATTGAAGAGCACCGGTGGGACCAGCTGAGTGTCGAGGGAGAGTTGCCAAGGTGTATGCCTGCTCAATGTGGCAGGCAAGGATTCCCAATCGACCGAGGCCCACCAGATTCTGGGACGAGAGATGATTTGGCCGTCGGCCGCGTCGATCAGGACTGGGCGTAGGCCCATGGAGTGGGACAGCTGGTCGAAGTCGTCGCGTACCTCGGGGTGAGGCACGACATTCTCTAGCAGGGTGAGCGATTGTTGTGGCCATCTGTTCTGAATGTCGTCGCGGATGGAGAGTGCGGTGTCGAAGAGGCTGCCCTGTGAGCC